GTAATGCACATATTAACTTAATAATAAAATAATTTAAGGAAATTTTAAAATTTTAAACTGAATCTTTATTGCTACATTTTAAATGTACATTCATTATTGGCATCTTGTACTTTTATATGACGTATCTTGGTTCTTGTATTTTCCCTAATCCCCTAGCCTCCCTTTCCCCCTCCACCCTTCTCTATTTACAAAGACTTTGTTTCCAATTTTTCCTTTTCTCTTCCCTTTTACCTTTCCCTTACCCCTCCCACTTGTCCAATACCTTTAGACCTTTTCTTCCTATTACAAAATATCAATTATACATTTTAAACCTTGTTTACACTTTTAATTTATCACACCAGAGAAACTATTTGGTATTTACACACATGGGTCCTATTACTTTCACTTAAGCGTATATCCATAATGTGCATCCACTTAGCCATAAATGCCTCTTGTTTCTCCTTCTTTATGGCTGAGTAGTACTTCATTTTATAAAAAAAAACCCCAAAAACAAAACCTACATGTTCTTTATCCAGTCTCCAGTTGATGGTCAATTGGGCTGTTTCCAAGTTTTAACTATTACAAACTGTGCTGCTGTGAACATGGGTGAGCATGTATCACTGTGGTATGATTAATTAAATTATTTTGGGAAGATACCCAGTAGGGAAATAGCTGGGTCTGAAGAGACTTCTAGTTCTAGTTGTGTAAAGTATCTCCATATTGATTTCCATAGTGGTTACACCAGTCTGTACTCCCACCAACAATGGAGAAGGGTTCCTTTCTCCCCACAACCCCGCCAGCATTTGTTATTGGTGGATTTCTTGATAGCAGCCATTCTTTGTGGGGTGAGGTAGAATCTCAGTGTTGTTGTCATCTGTTAGATTGACTCCTAGATATTTCATTTTTTTGGATGCTACTGTGAAAGGGATTATTTCCCTAACTTCTCTTTCAATAAGTCTGTTACTTGTGTACAAGAAGGCTATTGATTTTGAGTATTGACCAGCTACTCTACTTAATCTGTCATTTAAGTTTAGAAGTGTTTTGGCAGAGGTTTTTGGGTCTTCTATGTAGAGTATCATATCATCAGGAAATAATGACAGTTTAACTTCTTCCTTTCCTATCTTTCCTTTTATTTCTTTCTCTTGTCTAATTCCTGTCGCTAATGTTTTCAAAATTATATTGAATAGGAGTCGTGATAGTGGGCATCCTTGTCTTGTTTTAGCATGAAGGATTTCAGTTTTTGACCATTTAGTATGATGTTGACTGTTGGTTTTTCATAGATAGCCTTTATCAAATCGAGATAAAGACAGTCTATTCTAATTTTCTGCAGGGTTTTTATCATGAATGGGTGTTGAATTTTGTTGAATGTTTTTTCTGCATCTATAGCGATGATAATGTGGTTTTTGTCTTTGACTCTGTTAATATAGTGTGTTACACTTACTGATTTACATATGTTGAACCATCATTGCATACATGGGATAAATCCATCTTGGTCAGGGTGAATGATCTTCTTAATGAACCTCTGTATTCTGTTTGCCAGTATCTTATTGAGGATTTTTGCAGCTGTGTTCATTAGGGAGATTGGCTTCTAGTTCCCTTTTTTGGTTGGAGTCAAAGTAATACTTGCTTCTAGGAATGAATTTGGAAGTATTGCTTCCCTTTCAATTTCATTGAAGAGTTTAGAGTATTGGCAGCAGTTCTTCTTTCATTGTTTTGTAGAATTCAGCATTGAATCCATCAGGACCTGGGCTTTTCTTTGTTGGTAAATTTTTAATTACATTTTCAATTTCACTGTTTGTATTTGGGGTGCTTAGAATTGTTATATCTTCTCCATTCAACTTTGGTAATTCATATATATCTAGGAATCTGTCCATTTCTTCTATGTTTTACATTTTCCACTTTATTAGTGTACAGTTTCTCCAAGTAAGTATTGCTGGTGCTCTGGATTTCTGCTGGATCTATTGTGACTTCACCTTTTTCATTCATAATTGCATGGATTTGGGCCTTTTCTTTCCTTTTTTGGACAATATTGGCTAAGGGTTTATCAATTTTACTTATTCTTTGAAAAACCAACTCTTTGATTTATTGATTTTTTTTTGCATCATTCTCTTAATCTCCATTGCATTGATTTGTGCTCTGATCATTATAATTTCCTCTCTTGTATAAGCTTTGGGTTTGTCTTGCTCTTCTTTTTCTAGAAGCTTAAGATTCAGCATTAGGTTGTTTATTCGAGTTCACTCTGTTTTCCAAGTGTGGGCTTTTACTGCTATAAATTTCCCTTGTGGAACTGCTTTCATTGTGTCCCATAGATTCCCATATGTTTTATTGACATTATCATTTATTTTTAAAAACTATCTAATTTCTTCGTTAATTTTCTCTGTGTGCCATTGGTTGTTCAGGAGAGTGTTCTTCAATTTCCATGTGTTTGTGAAGTTCTTGAGAAATTATTTTTAAAACTAAAAAATAAAAATAAAACTGTTTTGGGTGTGATAATGTCATGGGGGTTTTTACCCTCATTAATGGGATTAATGCCCTTATAAAAGTGACATCGAAGAGATGGTCCTTCAGCCATGTGAGCACAGCATTCTTTTTTCTTTTTTTTCAGAACTAGTGATTAAACTCAGGACCTTGAGTTTGCCAGGTAGGCACTGGCACCACAGAGCTAAACCTCCATCCCAAGCATACAGCACTGTTCATCTCTGGAAGACCTAGCAACAGGAACCATCTTGGAGGTAGAGAGGGAGAACTTTCCAGACACCAGATCTGCCCATACTTTGACTTTGGACTTACCAACCTCTACAACTGTGAGAAATGAATTTCCATTATTTATAGTTACCCAAGTTAACATATTTTGTCATAGTACCAGGAATGGATTAACTCCCCATAAGTTCCCTACAAAACTGGCATTATCATCCTAATTTCACAGCAGTGACTCAGAAATATTAAATAACCTGTGAATATTCAATCAACTAAGTGGCCAAGGCAGGATCTGAACATGAATCTATCATCTTTAATGCATGTCTGTTTCTATCAAATGTGGTTGCTAGCTACCTATAAATAGTGTGAACAATTCCATTGAAAGAATTCAGATAGCAGAAAGATCACTGCTGGCTGGGCTGATTGGGAGCCTTTGTGGAAGGGGTAGCATCCTCTGAATTGAACTTAATAGGAGTCCATGAATACAGAGAACTCTGGGCCCCGGGAATGAGGGCATTAGTAATGTGTTAGAAGGGCTAAGTATAGTGTCATGTACCTGTAATCCCAGCACTCAGGAGGCTGAGGTAGAAGGATTGCAAGTTTGAAGTCAGCCTGGACTACATAGTCAATTCAAGGCCAGCCTTGACTACATGGATATATTTGTACAGTTTAGTGGGCAGACTTGTTTGGCAGAAGTAGAAGCTTTTCAGGGATTTTATCTGGTAGTGCCAACCTTAGTTCTTTGTGTTTTTTAGAATGAATCACAAAATATATTTGGTAAGAAAAGAGGATAATGGGAACTAAAAAGCAAGCATGGGAACAATAAATAATGAAAATGTTGAAAAGTGACTTTGTTAGTAATCTTGCCTTGCCAAATAAAACCACAATTATTGTGCATCTCTTAACCATTTGGTAAACCTGCTTCTTAAGCAAAAATTCCTCATTTATGTTCAAATGTTTAAGCCCCCGATACATATAAGACATCAGTAAGGCTGCAAGGGCCAGACTATAATTTTTATAACTATGTAATATTGTCCTGTGACAGCATGTTTTTCTGGATATGAAGGAAATTATTTTTCAAGCTTAAAGATACAAATTGAAAATAGTCCTCCATATTAACTAAGTCCAAAATATGAACTATGAGCAAATGTCATAACCCTGCATTGGAGGGAAAATGTAAAGGGAGAAAAACATTCAGGCTTACTCTTCAAATTCTGAACCATTAAGCAAAACTGTTGAAGTGACTCTTTATTAGTTCTCGCCCTTAACAAAGAGGTTCATGAAGTCTTCAGCTTGGGTTTCATAAATTGTTAATAATTTTCCTTAAAAGGCAAAGAAAAAGAACATTTCATAATTATGATGGTGTGTCTGTAAAGACTTTAAAAATCACAAGATCCTTCTCAGTTCTTCATGCATCTTCTTGATTCTTCTAGTGACCACACTGTTAAGTGAGCAAGTTACTGTAATTTTAGTTTCACATGGAGATTTCTGCTTGCAATTAAGACTTGCTTCCCTTTAAGAATGGTGTGAAAGATGAGTCAAAGAAACTTGGGTACTTGGCTCAGCCTCTGTGGAATTAGCATTTTGCACGTCAAGGCAGTTTCTTACAAATTCTATCATTGCTAGTTGCACCCTAAGGCAAACTCCCAGAAAGGCAATCTTCTTTGTCCTTGCCCAACAGATTGCTTAGAGCTGTTGCAATATTCTGGGTACAAGAAGATCAATTGATACATATTTACTGATAGATCTTTGTGGCACCTAAACGTAGTAACTGGGACACTCAATTTAATTAAGAATGCCACTTTGTGCTGAGGATGTGGCTCAGTGATAGAGCACTGCACTAGCATGCATGAGGCCCTGGCTTCCATCCCTAGCACTGCAGAAAAAGAGAGAGAGAGAGAGAGAGAGAGAGAGAGAGAGAGA